TATAGACGTATTATATCCTAAATACACATATTATACAGGGACATGTCTGGCTTGGGGCGTTCTTTAAGGAATCTGGCAGATATGTGGTAATTCAAAATTCTTCACAGGTTCTCTAGGGGATGGGAAAACAAAGACTGGGGAGGAGAACCTTTTAAGAATTCCTTGCAGCTCTTTCTCTGCAAATGCCGCTTCTCTCCAGAACACCACTGCTATTTTCTTTTCTCCTCCTTTCTTTCTTTTTTTGGCAAAAGCATTTCTTGTTATAACAAGGAATCTTAATAGAAACTGAAAATTATATTTCACAAGTTTTGTTCTTTTGTATACAGAAAGTGAAGTGTGGTACATTAATATTTTGAATGGTTTGGTAGACAAGTCAAAATGGTTTGGCCATAACAATCAGCAAAATGTATTGATAAAAGTAAGTGTAAATACACTGTTTCCTTTCACATTGATATTTAGAAGATTATTCAAAAGATTCACTTGTTTGACTTATCCATGCTCAGTTACGAGGATCTTTGTTTCCTGTATTAAGCATTCATGCTGTCTTGACTTTTATCAAAAAGTGGTGGAAATATTTTTGAATGTCTGAATAGAAAAGGAATGGCAGCCTATAGCAGTTAGCCCACCAAGGCAGCACTGGCATTTTCCTTTTGTCTTGTCCATGAAACATATCAAAATCAAAAAGCAAATTGGAGAAATTATACCTAAATCACATGAAGAAACCAAAGAAATAGATAAAAATATTTCATGGTCCCAATACAGACAAATAAGATAAAGTTTCAACAAAGATAAGAAAAAAAGGCTTTATGCAGAAGAATACCTTCTTGGATCATAGAGATGAAATTAATTCTCAAAATCTACAAAAAAAACTGCTGGAGTGGTCGATGGAAGAACAAACTAAGGATTGCATGGTGATATTGGCTGTGAATATTGGACATACAATAAGATGAGAAGATTGTAAAAAAAACTGGAACAAAAATTAAAATATACATATTTATATGATCTTAGAGAAAATTGGTATAAAATGATGTATCAGTGATATTTGAAGCTATCAAGATTATATCCAAATCTAAATAATAAATGTTGAAAATGCGAATAACAGACTGGAACCTTCTTCCATATGTGGTGGATCTGTAAGTCAGCAAAAATTTTTGAGAGAAATACAAGGGAAAATTCAAAAAATTCTAGACACTAGATTCCAACTTAGATCTGGATATATCCTATCAGGAATCACAAGCTTTGAAATAAATAATGAAAAAAGAAACTATTTACAAATCTCACAACAGCAGCCAGAATAGTATACGCCCGAAAATGGAGAACGAAAGAATTATGATCAGCAGATCAGTGGATCTTTAAAATAATGGAAACAATAAAAATGGACAAATTAACTCAAATTAACTTTAATATCAGGACCTCCTTGGGGGAGGGGGGACCCAACAGATTTGTCACCACTACTACAATATGAATCAAGAAAAAATAAAGTGGACAGACGGGACTGACGTATGAAATTAAAATTGCTCTCCAGAGGAGAGAAAACCGAAGAGGGATAGCCAATACTCCAGAGGACAGGACCAGGATTCAAAACGATCTTGACAGATTAGAGAGATGGGCCAAAACTAACAAAAGTTCAACAGTGACAAAGTGTTCAACAGTGGGGAGGGGGAGGGGATTATAAGGGACAAGGGTTCACAATGGATCAAGCCACAAAAAAATGAAAATGGAAATGATGTCCAATAATTTTTTTTATAAATCTTTATTAGAATTTTACAAAATAGATATACAGTGGGGGGGGGTGGGTTACTGGATAGGATAGCGTGATGGGTGGGGGGGGGTAGGGGGGATGGGATATAGGGTTGGGAAGGAAAAGGGATAAGGTGGGGAGGGGGGGAGTTGACTTCCCAGTCTTCTTTCCGATGTTCACACTCTCTTTCCTTTCGTTCTGTCTTGAAATCTCTTCTCGGCTCGTTTTCTTTTCCTTTTTTTCTTCCTTTAATGTTTGTTAGTATAAGTTTATGGTTTGTTTTGTCCTATTATTCTTCTAGTAGGGCCCTTTTTTTTCCTTAGTGAATACTCATAAAATCTTCAAATTGCTTCCAGATTGTTCTCTTTAAAGGGGTACCTGTGTAATCTTTTAAATAGTAGGTTAGCTTGTCCATGTTTTTCAAGTCCCATTTTTTTTTGTAACCACTCCTCCACTGAGCTAGATTCTTTTGATTTCCATCTCCTGGCGTATACGATTCTGGTGGCTGTCATGAGGTAGGTAAAGAGGATGTCTTGGTTGGAGTCCAATTCTATGTCGTTGTCTGTGATGCCCAGCAGGAAGTATTCCGGTTTCATTTGGATTTTGGTTTTAAGTATTTCTTGGGATAGATCTTGGATTTCCTTCCAGTAGCTTTGGGCTATGGGGCAGGTCCACCAGAGATGATAGTACGTCCCCACTTGAGATTCACGCTTCCAGCATTTATTCGAAGTTTTCTTATACATTAAGCTTAACTTCTGTGGCGTCATATGCCATCTGTATATCATTTTGTAATGGTTTTCCTTTAATTCCGTCGTGTAGACATATTTCATCTTCTTGTTCCACAGTTGATCCCATTCTTTGTAGTTGATAGATCTCCCAATGTTGCCTATAATTAGAACAAATAGAATATTTGAGATTTGGAATAAAGACCTATTGAGATATATCTGGATGGGAAGGAAGCCTAGAATTAAATTCAGAAACTTAACCGACCTAAAAAAGAGAGGAGGGTTCGGCCTCCCAGATTTCAAATTATACTATGAGGCCTGCTGCCTGACGTGGATAAAGGGCTGGATTTGACTAGATAAAGTCAAGATATTATCACTGGAGGGGTTTGATTTAAGAACAGGGTGGCATTCCTATCTTTGGTATTCTAAAATCAAAGTAGAGAAAAATTTCAAGAACCACTTCATAAGAACAGCCTTAATAAAAAAACCTGGGTAAAATACAAGGACAGATTATATTCCAAAACCCCGCTGTAGCTCTCACCTCTAGAGGCTCAGCAGAGAAGATTACTGGGAGGAGTAAACTGGCCTAAATATGGAGAAATCATGAAGAAAAAAGACGGTATCTACACTTTGAAATCCCAAGAGGAAATAACATCAAAGTTCAACAATATTTCCTGGTTCCAATATATGCAGTTGAAAGAATAGTTTAAGAAGGATAAAGAAATAGGGTTTTGTGACAAAGATAGATTCTGGGAAGTCATAATCCAACGAGATAGAAAAAACATTACAAACATATATGTAATCCTGCTGGAGTGGGCTACGGAAACGGAAGTCTTAAATGATGTCCAATAAATTAAGAATATCAACACTAAACAATAGAAGTTTAGGAACGATGATTAAAAGAAGGAGGATTGAAACCCTACTGAAGAAAGATGCAGTGGATGTTATCTTCTTACAGGGAACACACCAGAATAAGCCAGGTTCAAATGAATTAAAATTGAGTTGGATAAGGAGCTATGAAAAATCCTTTGGGTCATCAAAATCAAGAGGTGTAGCTATAATAATTGCAAAGAAATGTAACTTTGTAATAAACAAGGTATCGAAAGATGAGGAAGGTAGATATATAATAATGTATGGTGAAATAGGGGAGGATAAATATGTATTAGTAAATGTATATGCACCAAATGTAAAACAGCAAGAATTTTATGAAAAAGTACTAGGTCAGATAGAGAACTATCACCAACAATATGTAATATTTGGAGGGGACTGTAATTGTTATATGGACCAAAAAAAAAGATAAAACTACACAAATGTCAAAAATTAGAAATAGTGAAACAACGGATTTAAGTAGAGTGATGAATAAATGGCAATTAAAGGATGTGTGGATATTGGTAAAGGGAGATGAAAAAAATACACATACTATTCAGCTGTACATAAAGTGTATACAAGAATAGATTATATTTTTGTTTCTAAAAACATGTTAAGTAAATTGTTAAATACTGATATTGGAATTATTAATATTTCGGATCGTGCCCTGGTGTCAATTGAGATTGTCTTGAAATGTGATTATGATAAAATGAGGAGGTGGAGATTGAACACAAAAAAATTGAATTATAGAGAGATTGTGGATAGAGTGAAATCAGAATGGCAAGGATGAAAAGGACGTATCAAAAGGAGTGCTATGGGACACAATGAAAGCAGTGGTGAGAGTGTTATGTATAAAAGAGACAATCTCAAAAAAGGCAGGAAGAAAGGAAAAGGAATCTAGAAAAGAAATAGAGGAGCTTGAAAAAGAATATGTAATAAAGAGAGATATACAAATTTATGTAAGGTTGAGAGCGAAAAAAGAGGAATTGAATAAAATGGAAATAAATGAAGTACAAGAAAAATCTAATATATTTAAGGAGGGTATTTTTTGAGTTTAGTGATAGGAATTCAAAGATGTTAGCCAAATACACAAAAAAAGAAAATTGAGGGTATAATAAGCATGATAAAGGATAAAACAGGTAAAATATGTAGATCTATGAAAGAAAAATTGAAGGTTTTTGAAGAGTTTTACAATGAATTATAACAAACAAAAGCTAGCTCAATAGAAGGGAACAGATCATGGGACATAGGGCATCATAGAAGGGTCTAAGAAGCTCAGTTTCTATGTTGAGCCTTAGTTACATAGAGATGTCTCTGTATAGTAAGAGCTATTAATGTTAAGCTACTCTCTACATCAGTCGTGGGCAAAGTTTGGCCCTCCAGGTGTTTTGGACTTCATTCTGGCTCTTAGGAATTGTGGAAGTCCAAACACCTAGAGGGCTGAAATTTGCCCATGCCTGTTCTATATGTTAGCACACCAGTTCTTTAAATTAGGTGGAAAATTTATTCACCTAGGCTGCCTACACAGTTATTTTCACATAATTTGTGTGTTTCTCGATAGTTCCTTATCTGGGTTTAATGACCAAATCCTTTTAAAAGTATTTGCAAGGAAGATCCTAATATGTTAGTGAGAGTAGAAAATCTTATATGTTGGTTCTTCCTTTCAGCATGTCCACTGGGATTCTTTAAGGATTTGCCCCAGAATCAGATGTGCAGCAAATGCCCACCACACAGTTACACACGTGAAGAAGCATCAACCTCCTGTGTTTGTGAAGAACATTATTTCCGAAAGGAATCTGATCCACCCACAATGGCCTGTACAAGTGAGTGTATTTGTTTTTATTATATTGAAGTGATGGATGACAGATCATGAGTCCAAATAATTATAATCACAGAGCCAAGTTCAGTAATCACATAGCATACTTTGGAAAGGTCTCATCCAGAGAGGCTTTCTAGCCCAACAGTCTTATATATTTGTACTTACATAGATGAACCAGAAATTGAACCTGAAAATTTGCAAGTGAAAAATAGATGCAATTTGATCAACTGAACTTATGGTTCAAGGCTGTCCAGGAAATATATTCAGGCAATTTTTCTGAACAGTTGGCCTTTGCGTGTGTTATTTGATGTGGGCCAAATTAAACAAGATGGAAAAAGGCATGCTTATGTACTTGCCTGCATTGTTCATATACAAGAAAAAAGATTTGTGAATGTATAACCAGTTTGTCATATTTTGATGCATTCTCTCATCTTCTGGCCAGGTCTTAATTTTAGGGCTGAGCTAGGAGGAAAAAATAGAAAATAAGCCAGAGGGACAGGATTCATGTTAAAATTAGTTCCATCACATTTTCTTTATATGTGAACAAGGGAAATATGTGACTAACAAATATAATGGAAACCATCACATATTAAATATAATGTTAGTTCCAGACAGAGTAAAGAATCTAGGGAATTTACATGCTTGGTGTCTGATCATCATTTCAGTTATTCAGTGGATATGCTGTATTTGGGATTAACATCTAGATTTTTGGCCCCAGTAATAAGGTATTTGCATAGAAGATAAGGAATGTTGTTCCCACTAAAACAAGGCAAGTTGGGATAACATGGGTAAATGTTTCATTCAGAATTCCAGTTTCCCAAACTCATCTTTGTCCCTCAATCCCCCCCCTTTTCCCCCAAATCTGCCCAAATTGATACATTCAAGTTGCCCAAGATGCTTTTATTCAATTTCATTTTAATTTAGAACATCTCATCTTTTCATATATTTTCCCATTCCATTTGTTTTTCCTGCTCTGTGTTTTTCTCTGGTTTTGTTTACAAAATGCATTTATTATTACACTCCAAAAGCTAGAGGATACAGACAGGGTTTCAAGGAATCCCACGTTGTATGGACCAGTACGCCTCTAGTTTAGATTATAGATGGAACTACCAAGATTGAAAGAAGAAGGGAGAAGGACCTTTTTGCCCTGGGTCTGACTGCTAAAAACAATTCAGATATCTTATTTACCCTTTGCCATAAAAAGAAGGGAAAACACCTGAATTTCTTGAAGTGCTGGGAGCCAACCATTCTGATAAAAATTGTTTGCTGGGCCACACGATCATAGCAAAACTATATCTAAGGCAAAAATTGTTACTAGATCTATGGAATTGGAAAAATAGCTCTATTTTTTTTTTAAAAAAAAGAAGAGTTGTATGGGGAATTCCTATATTTGAAGGGAAACTATATATCAGAGGAATTGCAGTCATAAATATGTGTCATTTTCCAATCAGAAAATGAAACCGTAAGGTATAAGGAGGTAGAGTGGCAAAAGAAGTCAGATTGTTGAACATCTGGGAAAGTTCAAATGGCAATTGTGCCATCAAGGTCTGATGTTCAACTAAGCATGTTTGGTCTTCTTTATTTATCTATTTATTTGAAACATTTATATTCCTCCCTTCTCATCCCAAAGGGAAATCAGGGAGGAGCGCAACATATATATGGCAAACATTCAGTGCCGGACATAAAACTATGAATATACACAACCATTAAAATCACTTATATCTACTTTAAAGTCAGCTGTTTAAAATCATCTCAAGACACTATGTTGGCTCTGGTCAGCAGAGTAGGTTCCCTATTATTGCCTCATTGCACTGCCCCAAAGGCTTGGTCCCACAGCCAAGTCTTTACCATCTTTCTGAAGGACAGGAGGGAGGAGGCTGATCTAATATTGCCAGGAAGGGAGTTCCATAGCTGGGGGGCAATCACTAAGAAGGCCCTCTCTCTTGTCTCCTTCAAACGCACCTGTGACAATGGTGGGACTGAGAGCAGGGCCTCCCCAGAAGATGGTGGTTTGTAAAGGAAGATGCGTTCGGACAGATAAACTGGGCCATGGCCGTTTAGAGCTTTATAGGCCAAAGCCAGCACTTTGAATGGTGCCCGGTAGCAAACAGGCAGCCAGTGGAGCTGACGTAACATGGGAGTTGTGTGTTCCCTATATGCCTCCCCAGCTATTAACCTGGCTGCCTCTCATTGGACTATTTGAAGCTTCCAAACAGTCTTCAAAGGCAACCCCACATAGAACACATTGCAGTAGTCTGTCCTGGATGTAATGAGAACATGGATCACTGTGGCCAAGTCTGACTTTCCAAGGCACACAAGTTTTGATTTTGCAAAAGCCCCCTAACCACCACCACAACCTGAGGTTCCAGGCTCAGTGGTGACTCCAGGAGGACTCCCAAGCTGTGAACCTGTGCCTGTAATTCTGTACCCTATACTCTTTGCCAAGATGCTCTTCCTGAAAAGTCATGAAAGGATAGCTATCTGATTTGAAGTCTAGCATCCCTTCATCCCTCTCAGATGGACTGTCTTGACCTACCAGGTCCCAGCATTGTCAAGTTCTTATAGGAAGGTGTGAAGCTTTGCTTAGGGACTACCATTGCTGGCTTCAGCTCATGTATTGATGTTGGAGTTCTTGAGATCTCTGCCTCTCTATTGGTGTAAACAATATTCTAAGTGAGAGAATGGCCTAAATACAACTTTAACACAAAAATAGGGAGGGTGAAGAAATTACTAACTGGAAATAAGATAGAGTATCTTAAGAAATTCTTCATTGAAGCTTCACTCTTGTTGGATTCAATTTTTTTTGTATACTGCTTTCCTGCATAAAGTATAAAGGATAATAGAAAACAAATATTTTGTCTATTTATTGAAATAATTTATATACTACCACTTTGAGATGAGTTTACATTTTCACATCTTGATAATAACACCCTAATAAAGCAATAATGAAAAACAGGTTGAAAACCTCTTATCAGGAATTCCAAAGTACTCCAAAATCCCAAATTGTCCATGCAAATGGTTTAGATAGGGTTCACTTTCTGGTGGCTTGGTGTTTACAAACTTTGTTTCATGCAGAAAATTAATTTTAAAAAATATTGTGTATTAAATTAGCTACGTGTATAACGTATATATGAAATGTAAATGAATTTTGCTGTCTGACCTGGGTCAAATATCTCATTCTTACACCTAAGCAAATCCAGGTATTCCAAAATCTGAAATCCAAAACACTTTTAGCCTCACACATTTTAGATAAGGGATACTTAATTTGTAATATCAATAGCATAAGGATTAATTTTGCGAGGCTTAACTCCTCTAGGTATTGAGCTTCTTTCTAACATTGCTCATACATTTTCAAATGATTTTTCCAAGTGAAGCATTGCTTTGTTACTTTTTTTTTTAAAGAAAGATTGAATTCAGAGCATGGGTGCCATCCCATAACATGGAACTGTCTCGCTAGCTCATTGAGTATATGTAGAATTGCATTATAGTTGCTCTTAGGTCCTATTGAAACCAGGATGACGTGACTCAATTTGTCCCATTTGTTTCAAGGGAAATTAAATCCATTTTAAATCTGGATCCAACCCAAATAGCTTTTTTTTTTACGATAAGCAATAAGAATTGGAAGCTCATATGAAACGTTAAGAGGAACAAATATAATGGAAATGATGGTGTCAGTACTGAAGTTGTATTATCAAGAGAGAGAGAGATTAGTGGGATCAATGTAATCTATTTATATTTTTAATAGAAACTTTTGGGAGACATGGGCTTACAAACAAAAAAAATTCTTAAATTTGGGTTATATTTATTTATGTATTTATTTATTTAATGGCTGTATAATTTGGAAATTAATACAATAGGAGGTGGAACTCATATCTGATGGGACAAGAATCATATTTGCCATTTGTTTCATACTGATTATTTAGGACACTTCTTCTTAAACCCACCCTAACTGAGGTCCTCTTAGCTCAAAGTTGGGGTCAAGGAAGATTTGGCAACAGTAAAAGGCTTCTGAATGCCACCCATTTATATATTTTAAAAACCTATAATGCTTCAGCTGTACTCCACAAAAAAGAAAATTGGCCTGTTTTGCAAGCTTCACAAATGCTGATTCATTATCTAAAAAAGTTTGATTTTTATACCTATTTTATATATCTGGGGTGACGTACAAATAGCTCAGGCAGAAAGGGGTGTGGGAAAGGTTTAAGAAGTCTAGGATGTAGGAAAAATATCACAGTAATGATAGATAATAGGGCTGGGCAACCACGGAAAAATTTGTTTCTAAACTCGATTCGTTTTTAGGGGGTTTTTGCGTTTCGTTTTTTAAAAGAATTCCGAAATTTTTCTTTAAAAAAGTTCGATATTTACGAAACGAAACAATTACGAATCGATTCGTTAATGGCGGACACAATTGCGCAATACGCTAAAAAAACCTCCAAATGGGACAGGGAGAACTTCTGAAGCTTCCCTCTCCCTCTGTTGTTGACTGTTGGTGTGATAATTGTTTTTTTTATCACTGATAAAACAAACTTTACCATAAAACTTGCACCAGACATACGGAAATAATAACGAAATAATAACGAAACAATTACGAAACAATTACGAAATAAATTTTAAAAATTCGTTTCGATTTTTAGTTGCTCCTGAATGGTTCAATATCACTTCGTTATTAAAAAAAATAACGAATTAATAACGGATTACGAAATTAACGAACGAAACCGCCCAGCCCTAATAGATAATATTCATGTGTGTGAGAGAGTAATAGTTACCAAATACTTGTGCTAGTGTATGTGTAGTCTGCATGTGTGTATGTCAAGGGGTAAAGGGGAATACTGCCCCCAAGGAAATTTTGCTACTCTGTGTTATTTCTAGCAGTGTAGTAACTTAAAACTTCAGATAAACATTTAAAGACACAGTTTGGGCATCAAAAGAAAAGTTACCACAGAATGCAAATACAACTAATATAAAGGTTCCAGGCATCTGTGAATTTTCAGTGTGTTCCTTTCT